AAAAGCCTTCTCTAACATAACTGAGAGAAAGGAAAAGCCATCTTAACGCCCGAAACATACTTCCAAACGCAACTTATGCAGTTCCTGATTTAAAAGCTCGTTCGTTTTCCTCAAACTATCGACAGCATTTTGCGAGAAAGAAAGCCCCGAGGGTGCGGGCACCGGCGTGGCCGATCTCGGAGGACTTAGTTTTCTCGAGAAAGGCGAGACGGCCCTGGAGATACCGCTCGAGTGCGAAAGAATAGGTCTCGGAATAGTCCTCCGAACATCGAGAACAGAATTTTCTCCCTTTCTCCCCTGCCTGCTCGCTTTAGCATCCAGCCCCCTCATCAAGTCCGAGTTGGCCGGCAACAATGCCAGCCTGGCAAACCTCATATCAGCGTGGGCCCCACCCTCCGCCAGCGCAGCCCGGCCCACCTTTCTCGAGCTGCAAGCATGGCAATGGGGAAGCCCGCAGTTGTAACAGCTGCGCCTCTTTCTCATGAACCTGAAGGCCTGTCTGCAGGACGGCCCCAGAGACCCAAGCTCCCATTGGCACCTTTGCCCCAAGTGTAGATCTCGTTTTTGGACGTTAGAACCGCCACATGGTAGGCCCCACATTCGATTTCCTCGACTGTTTCGCCGAAAATGACGGGGCAAGGTAGTTTCCCGTCCGACTCGGGATTCCCGAGCTGGCCGTAGATCAAGAAAACATGGCCCGACATAGTCAAACCCATATCCGCATGCAACCTTCCGGAAGTTATGATCGACGAGAGTCGGGGCACAAGTGGGCTCGAGACGGGCTTCCTTGTCTCCTTGCCCGAGCCGATTCTTGTCCCCATCGCCCCACGTGAACAGTTTTCCGGACGTGGAAGAATGTGTGACTTCGACTATGGCCGCCGTGTGCCAGACCCCGCACGCGACCGCCAGGCCCGAAATGGACTCGACCTCCTTCGGGCCCAAGACGCTCTCCCTATTCCCGTGGCCCAATATGCCGAAACTGCCCTCCCCGAACGTGAACAGTCTCCCGTCGGACGTGATCAGGGCCGTGTGCCATGCGACCGAGCCTCGAGCGGGCTCGAAACCCTCCTCGGGCCGAGGCCCATCCCGCAGCCGAGGAGCTCGGAACTGTGTGTGCCGTCGCCCCACGTGTAGAGCTCTCCAGAAGCTATGACGGCACATGTACAAGCGATGTCGTCGATGTTCAGACAGGACAAAGAGTCGATAAGACGAGGTTGCGAAATGTCGCTTATGCCCCCGTGGCCAAACTCGTCTCATAACTAAAGACAGGACATTTGAGTAGTTTTATATGTCATGTTATTTGCTTCATATAAATTTTATATAATTATGATATATCAAATTTGTTTATTATGACATGTATTTATTTAATTAGTAATATGAAAATAATATAAATTGAAAATTTTAACAAAATATTTGTTCCACAAATATTTTGGAATACATTTTAATTCAATCCAATCTTATTGAAATAGTTTGCATCTCCTTTATTATTTTTTATTTACTAGTAAAGTGCACGTGCGATGCACGTGGTGACGAATGTTTTTTGCCGATTAATTTTAATAAGATAAATTAATTAATTTATTAAACATATGATTGCAGTAAAAAAAAATGTAGATTAAATAAACTCTTAATTATTTTTTTTTTCAAAAATAATATAATGATGTTGCAATATAAAAAAATTTAAATAATATATTACAACCCCAACAAAAATATATGAAAATGAGTCCATAATAAAAAAAACACTAAATAAGGACCTAATGTATATTATAGATGTATGAGTTCTTTTATTTATTTATGTAGATTCAAGAGTAATTTTCTTTCATTCTAATTTGATGCTCTCATAAGAAACATTTATACTCGTTGTATTCCAATACATCAATAGTATTGTTAATTTTTTCTTAATTAATTTGGTAAAACGTGTGCTTTATTCAACACTTAGAGATACTTTAGCCAAACATATAGTCAAACTTCATGATTGTATGATCATTATAAAGTATATTTACTAACAGTTGATAAATATCTCTGTGATATAACCAACTGTATCATTAGAGTTCTTGATACTTGTGTCATTAAAATTCTTGATATTTTTTTTATTCATTATATAAAATACTATATTACTCTCTCTCTCTCTCTCTCTCTCTCTCTCTCCATATAACAAATTGATACTTAGTCCATGGGGTAAGAACAAATTTAATCTCTAAATAAAAATTGATTTTCCAAAATCATGTACTTCTCCAAAGTTGCTATATTTTTTAAAATTATCATACATGACATTAAAATACGTATTCTAAAGTAATTGTACATATGATCAAGCACAATACACAATTAAGATAGAGAAATTGGTACTTACTCCATGGGGTGGAAACGAATTTAATCTCTAAATAAAAGTTAATTTTTCAAAATCATGTACTTCTTCGAAGTCGCTAAATTATTTTTTAAAATTATCACACATCACATTAAAATACGTATTCTAAAGTAATTTCACATATGATCGAGCCTAATACACAATTAAGATTGTAAATATTCTATCAAAAGTGAATTTATTCAATTATTCAAAAATAATTAAATCATAATCAAACATTCCCTTTTCAATGTTATTTATTTGGACGATAGATGAACTACATAACCTATTATTTGCAATTTGCATATCATTGAACATTTTGGTTGTTGCAATGATTTTAGAGTTGTTTATCATAAAACATTTCACATTCGTTTGGATTACTTGCAATATTTATGTGTCTAATAATTTATTTAATGCATTTATTGTCCACTTTTTGTATCATAACTAATTCTTCGAAAATTCAAGATAATGATCATTTCTTGATTCTTCAATAATAACAAAACAAAACAAAACAATGAGACAATATTGAGATGCATATTATCTGTCAAAATATTTTAGATGAGAAGAATTTGAATTCTATTATATTATGATACTCTTAGTCATTTATTAACTTTACTATTATGAAGTCATTATTAAAGTTCCTGGTTTATATTATTATAATATCGAATCACTATTTATGAGAACCAATTTCTTATAGATAACATATATTTAAATGCTAGCAACAAAAAAGTAGTAATTTTCAAAGATTTTTGTTTTTTAATATTGGTATTCATACTTTTCTAAAAAAGTTCTGACCGTTTCTTTTCCCCATTGCATTACTATTTGTTTTATTTGTTTTTTATTTTATTCGCAAATAATATTTTATTTGTTGAAAAACTTAGAGCACATTTATACACATTGAGTTTTTTTTTTTACGTGTTTGATAGTAATAATATATTTGATAAAAATGTACTTTTATATTGTTTATAAGATTAAAAAGTTTTTGGATTTTTTTTCCATTGATGATAAACTCCTAAGTAAATAACTTATTTTCATATTCACAAAAAATATATTTTTAAAACCATTATGATGTTCTCTTTCAAGCAATAATTTCATAATAGTTTAACATACAACTCATTTATTTTTTGTTTTAATTCATATAGTTAATATTGGGAATAGATGTACGTTTATGTTTGTCCCATTTTTGTTACGTTATTCGTGTCTATTCTCTCTTTCTTTTTCCCCATTTTGAGTCATTTAGATGGTTTTAGGATCATTTTGTCATTTATTATGTGTTTTGCGTTCATTTGAGTGTTGCGATGTTTTCCGTTTGTTTTCCGGTCTTTTTCTGTTCTCTTTTCGTTTTTGGTGTGTAGTTTGAAGACCTCGGGAGAACAGGTTTTCAAGAATCTTGTGGGGAAGCTGACACCATTAGATATAGGGGTTCGTTAGCGACACGTAGGAAAAAACGGAACTCAATTATGAGTTAAAACGAACCCGAACGAGCAAAAATCGTAAGATGGTGCAGTGCAGATTTTGGTCTCCGCGGCCGCGACCCTTTCTTCGCCGCGGCCACGGCGATGAAAAGCTGTCAGGTCCCAAATTTCAGCAATGAAAATCCCGCGGCCGCGGAGGAGGAAGTCGCGGCCGCGGAGGTCGCGACAGCAGGATTTTTATTTCGCGATTTTGATCAGTTTTGGGGGACGTTCCACTTAGGTTTTGAGTTGGCTCTCGTACTTTTTCACCCCAGAACTCAGTTTTCTCTTATCTTTCACTTGGAATTGATCTTGGATTGTGAAAACACCAAGATTTGACTCGTGGATTTGGATTGTTCGTTGTTCTTTCGACATTGGATTCATATTTAATTGTAAGCTTTCTATTTCATTTTATCTCTGATGATGATGACTTTGATTGATATTGATGTTGATGTTGAATTGATGATGAGTGGCTAAATTCATATGCTAGGGATAGGGGATTGATGTTTTGAAATCGTTTGTGATTGTGGGCATTCGTTGATTGTTCTTTCCATGCGAGTTAATCTTTTATTATGGTTCTTCAATTATCAGGCTTGAGTATTGATAATTGTTGAAGGGTGACACTTCAACTTACAATTGTTTCAATTGAATTTGATTTATTCGTGCTTGAAATTGGGAATCTAATTGATTAGTCGGTTAATCACCCTCTAGTCTACTTTAATCGACTCTCAGAACTGAAAGGGGAGGAGTCGGTCGAAATAGGCTCGTATGAATTAGGCTTGTTCGTAACTGTATTGCCTAGGAGTTAAATGAATTGTTAATTTTCCGTTCTAGTTTGTTCTCTTGTTACGAAAAGTTATTGAGAATGAGTACTCGAACGTGTCGATTATTCAAATCACTTAGCTGAACAATCACCTGCCCATTAATTGTAATTCGAACCAAAACGGATCTCCCCGACTCCCTAGCTTCTCAAATCCTAATTGTTCTTCGTTACTTGCTTTCTTTATTGCTTAATTTAAATTTTCGCAGTAGTTGATAATTAAATCCAAATCAAACCATCTGAATTAGAATGTTTAGGAATTTTGTTTCCCTTTTTGTTTGAATAAACGTATAGAATATTCCGGCTAACCTTCCTCGTGAGACACGACCCGGTGTTCGAATCTTTAGATTCTACTCCGGAAAAATATTTACAACAGTTTACATCCAATTACACTTTTTTCTTATTATTGAATATTTCAAATCTATGTAAGAAAAATATACCACAAATTTATCTAATATTATTTTATAATTAATAAAATTGAGTTAACATGGATCTATAAATTGGTATATATTATTTTAAATTGGTCTATGTATATATATATATTTTATTTACAATACATTGGTCAAATCAAACATCATGTGAAAAAAATGATGTGATATATTAAATATAAAAGTGAAACAAAAAAAATATTAAGTATTTCAAAATTTAAAATTTTAATGGTAAAAATTAATTAAATTGTTAACTAAAAAGATGATGACTAACATACATATTTCTAACACAAAAAGATAAATATAGTTTTTACAAATGTGCATCTCAAGTATGTTTTACATTTATCATTCGCTAGCTTCAATTAATATGGGACATTTACTAATTTTATTTTTTATTATTTTTTTTGGATGGAATGTGAGCTATAATCTTTCTCATTGTGTAGTTTTACCTTTTCATCATGTAGAACAATATTCTTACCTCTTGTTTAGTATTAGTCTTACCTTTTTATTACATAGAACATCATTCTTACTTCTTGTTTAGTTGTTATAATACTACTAAAATAATTAACTGCACACAATATTATATATAGTGCTTTTTTTTTTTATTTGGAGTCATACTTTTACTGCAAGAAAATGATGAAATTCTAATGAAAGCATGTTACAACAGAATTTCAACAACAACTCTAATGAATATTTCTATGTTACAATTCTCGTTTGAATTTTTCAATGAATATTTTAACAAAAATACTTTGTTAGAATTATGGGCAGATCCATGTTTGTCTAATAGTCCCGACATAGGCCTCATCCCAAAACATATAGTATAAGATATCTAATAAAAATTATGGGAACATTTTTCATAATTTTAATCATGCCCTTTATTTAACAAATAAAATTAAACGAAAGAAAGATAAATAATAAATTAATTTAAAACTCAATCAATTATAATTTAGTTCAACTAATAACTATATCAAAGATATAATATAAATGCAATATTACAACTAAACGAAATATAATAGTTATCAAAATTTACAATTTTACGCTCTATTCTCTATTTTCTTTTTAATCTTGATGATAGCTTATATTCTCTCTTTTGCGACATAATTTTATCTAACTTTAAAGAA